CCCTTTTGCTTTCCCCGGAATTTTAGATCTTTTCGGGGGATATTCTTCGTACGATCTCTCCATGGCAATCGAAATGGTTGGTGGGCAGAGTGATGATGTCCACCAGACACCCGTTGACATCACCCCCGCGTTGATGGAGGACTACACCTTCCCGGAGTATCGCCTCAAGCGCACCATGAGCGACCCCGAGAAGACCCCTCTCTTGCTGGTCGCTTGTGGTTCTTTCTCACCCATTACCTATTTACATCTGCGAATGTTTGAAATGGCCAACGATCATGTCAGATTTAGCACCGACTTCGAAATCATTGGAGGATATCTTTCGCCGGTGTCGGATGCCTATCGCAAGGCTGGTCTGGCCAGTGCAGAGCATCGGTGAGCGATTCTACGTTCTGTTCGGCTGCTGTCCGAATACTAATGGGAATTGATCTATAGGGTTGCGATGTGTCAACTTGCAGTCGATCAAACATCTGACTGGTTGATGGTGGACACATGGGAGCCAATTCAGAAGGCCTATCAGCCAACTGCCGTGGTGCTAGATCACTTCGATCATGAAATCAATGTGGTCCGTGGGGGGGTGGACACCGGAAACGGAACCCGGAAGCCCGTTCGCATTGCTCTGCTAGCCGGGGCGGATCTCATCCATACGATGTCCACACCGGGTGTATGGAGTGAGAAGGATTTGGATCACATTCTAGGCAAATACGGCGTAAGTATTCTTCGAACAGTGAACCCCGTTCATCCCGCTATTGAGACGTCGGCCGCTAATTCACCCTCTCAGTCTTTCATTGTGGAGCGCAGTGGCACAGATATTGATGAAGCCCTAGCCAGCTTGCAGCCCTGGAAAGACAATATCCATGTCATCCAACAGCTCATTCAGAATGATGTCAGCAGCACGAAGATTCGACTATTCTTGCGGCGTGAGATGAGTGTGCGCTACCTCATCCCAGTTCCAGTCATTCATTACATTGAGCAGCATCATCTATATGAAGATGATGGCACGGCAGAGAAGGGTAAAGAGAAACAGGAGGGTCGATAAGGATGATATGACGATCTACTACTGCCTGTTAAGGCAGATTCTTAATGACCCCTAGCGACGCCACATCCTGATGCGATACCCCCTGCCTTCTGTCCTTTCTGAGGCGACAGAAGCTATTTTTTTTTGGGTTGGAGTTGGTGGAGTAATTTTGAATTCTAACCCCGTTGGCCATCGCCCTTGTTCAAGGCAATAACCAGCAGGAGCACATTGTAATCATCCCCGTCAACTGGATGTATTTATTTCCATTCCCGGGGCTTGCTATTTCTTCAACGCCCTCTGCGTAGAAAAGGCCCCGATAGACCTCTTGGGTCAGACACCACTTTTTTAAAAATCGATTCCAGGAGTCATACAGACGATCTCTGGTGTTTAATGTACCTAAATTTCCGCAACGAGGAGAGGAACTCAACAGAGCCCGGAGAGTCGATACATGCTCTCGTGTTCTATGCATCGACCCCTGAAAGACTCTTATAGTCAGGTAGATCGCCTCCACATTCACCGTCAAAGCATATGTTGTAGAATGACACTATCTTGCTAGACAGGGTGAGACGGAGCTATGCATAGTGGCAAATGAAAACAAGGTTGAAAAGAGGATTGGTATAGATCAAATTGCCACTCGAAAAGCCCATGCAAGCAGTAATAATTCCCGGTCTTACATGAAATCACCGATCCCGATCGCCCACTTATCTTTCGTCATCGATTGATCTTGGATCTTCGGCCTCCGCTAAATTAATCGGCGCCCAGGCGTGAGAAAAGACCACTTCACTCCAAAAATCTTCTTGCTTTCAGTCACTATGCTTTAGACATTGAGAACTACCCGCCATGTTGATGTTCGAAGAAACCACCCCCGGCGCCCGCTCGTGGCCTCTTACCCCTCCTAATTCTTCGGATCCACCAGCACCAAAAGATGTCTCATCAGTGGTGACAGCAATCCATGTGATCTCAACCGAGCGAGCAGCCCTCGCTCACCTTGAGCACATTTATCAGACCGACGCGCGAGCGCAACACGATCTGGCACGGGCCGTGGATCAGATCGCGCGGAGCGTGCGCGAGGGTGGGAAACTGGTCGTTTGCGGGGTCGGGAAAAGTGGAAAGGTCGGACGCAAAATCGAGGCTACCATGAATAGTCTGGGTGTATACAGCGCGTTCCTGCATCCGACTGAAGCCTTGCATGGCGATCTGGGATTGGTTCGGCCGGTAAGCCCACTTGCGCCTGCAGATACAACCTACGTGCTTTTTTGCTTTCTTGAATCCCGATCACACTTGGCTTTTGATACGAAATGGGAAACGTTTGTTACTAACCCTGGTGTATCCAGAATGATACGGTTCTTCTTATATCCTTCTCTGGTCGCTCCCCTGAGCTTCTATCTCTGCTTCCGCATCTTCCCGGGACTGTTCCGGTGATCGCTCTCACGTCGCATACACATCCAGTGTCATGTCCGCTTCTCGCGTTGCATGGCCCTTCAGGAATGGGCATTCTTTTGCCGGCACCGATTCATGAGGATGAAGAGTCTTCTTTTGGTGTGTGCGCGCCCACGTCGTCCACTACAGTGGCCTTGTCGCTGGGCGATGCTCTAGCCATTGCTACGGCCCGGAAACTGCACACTGCGACAGGGAAGAGCCCTGCCGAGGTCTTTCGGGGGTTCCATCCTGGTGGCGCTATTGGAGCGGCGACGGCAGCGGCAGAGACGCCGCTGACCACGCCCCCGAGCGACATGGTAACGGGGACATTTGACTCTCCAGCGTCGTCTGTGTCTCTTCCGTGGGATGAAATCACGAACACTCCGTTGATCCCTGCTCTCACTTTACAGTCACCAGCGGAACAGCGTCCAATTTCGCGAGACATGCTGGTCCCGCTCGATCATATCCCCACTGCCTCTGCATCTTCATCGCAGTCACCCGGCGATGTCCGCCTTCTTGATATTCTTCTGACAGCCATCCAGCATCCTCATGCCAAATCATGGGTAATGTTGTCTCCGTCTGAAATAATTCCTCCCCGGCGTATTCGTGCACTTCTTTCTCCTGGTGGAGACATGGACTTGCGTGTGTCCGAGGTCATCGCCAAAGACCCTGGTACTCCATTCGTTATACCTCAAAGTAAATGGCTCTTGGTGACAGAATCGACACCCCTCGCGGAAATCCGGCGTACTGTTTCCGAATCTCGAAATAGATCAGATCCAGTGTCTGTCGTTGCTGTCGTGAAGGATAGGGCCTCTCCCGGCGGCATCATAGGGGTAACGGATGCAGAGGATCTATTGGATGGATGAAATGGCTGAAAAGTGACTCGGTTTTTCTTTTTTTCGTTCTTGGATATACTCCCTTGATTTTACAAATCGTTCGCATTATCATGCATACGGTTGACGATGTTACGCCCACCCAACTTTGTATCCTTTTGCCTGCATCCTTTTTTTTTCTGATGCACATTTACTACAATCGAAGCCCGAGCTTCACAGCCAAGGCTGCCCATACACGATGCAAATCAACGCCAATAATATTTCTCATGGTAATACCATCAGTATGCAAAGTCCTAGATCTATATCGTACAGAACATAATACAGCTCCTCTCAGCAATCAAGCCTTTACAATCGGCTTGATACCCTTATGGATAGCAGCAATACCACCGGTAAGGTTCTCAAAACCCTGACCAGGAATCATAAACCCAGCCTTCTGAATCATACCTCTAAACTCCTCCTGACTGGGGAAACGCTCAATACTCTCAACAAGATACTGATAGCTATCCCGGTCCCCAGCAACAATCTGACCAATAAGCGGGATAGCACCAAAGTTCCACTGCTTATAAATCCCATCCAGAATGGGGTTATCAACTTTACTGAACTCCATGCAAGCAAAGACACCACCGGGCTTGAGCACACGATACGCCTCATTCAGCGCAGCCTGCTTATCCGTGAAGTTCCGGATTCCAAACACGACAGTGTACAGATCCACCGAGGCGTCGGGGATATGCGGCATGTGCTCAGCATTCGCCTCGACGAAGTTCAGTCGCGGCGTGTTGTAGTATGGGGTGTCGAGCGAGCGCTTGCGGCCCTCGGCCAGCATATCCGCGTTAATATCGCTGATCGTGACGCGGGTCTCCATGTCGTGGTTGACGTTCGAAGCGTGGTCCAGCATGCGGAAGGCGATGTCGCCGGTCCCGCCGGCGATGTCCAGGATGTTCCAGCCGCGTTGTTCGGGAGTCATGGCGGGAAGAAACGAGCCTGGGTTTAGGGATCGCACGAAGTGGTCTTTCCAGAGACGGTGGATACCGAGGGACATGAGGTCATTCATGCGGTCGTAGGAGGCTGCTACGGAGCTGAAGACGGCGCCGACTGTAGAGGGTGTTGGTGGTTAGTTAACGGTTTGGGGTTTGGTCCAATTGGAATAGTAATCAATCGGATAGGTGGATGATGATATTGACCTCGCGACTCCTTCTCTGACTCGGGCACGTTGGCGAAGCCGAAGTGTGTCATGCGGTCATTTCCCGGCTTCTGCTCCTGAACGCGGTTGGCACAGGAGAAACAACGGTAGGGGGTGGTGGCTTGGAAAGTGCGACGCTTGGCACTGTAGTGCAAAGCTCGCCAGGCGGAGCGAGTGGACATGGTGGACATGGTGAAATTGATGTTGTTGTCTGGAGAAGCTTGCCCTGGTGAACCGGGCAACTTTTCTTTTCCAGTCCCGGTCCCCACCGGTGCGTGCCGTTAAGCACCGCCCGTGACAACCAATCAGAGTGTCTATTTTTTTTGAGATCCAACTATTACACCTATTTGGGCATAGAAGAGACATAAAGACTCTAGAATCGAATTGAAACTGGAATGTCTTTTACGGCTTTACTCGCCGACTGCAATGATTGGTGACATTGTCCTTGTAGGCTTGAGAAATAGTAAATATCAACTGACGTATTATGCAACAACGAACAGGATAGATGCATATTTACAACCAAATTATTCGACATCAGTCGACATCGAGACTATCACCACATTTTCTCCCATACTCGCAGAGCCCAATGCATTTGGGCTAACTCCTCTTTCCGCCGTTCCGCCCAGTTACCTTCTTCCCAGATCTTACACTCTTCATCGATCTCCGCCTTCCCAGAGTACAAATCTGCCTCTGCAACTTTCACAAAAGAAGTCCGATGATACATCTTCCAGAAGACAAACATGACTACCCAGAACCCTAAACCGAAATAGGAGGTGATGAAGCCTTGCACACTGAAAGGGTTGAAAACAGAGAAGCCATTGAAGACAGCAGTCAAGCAGCCAATGACGATAGCAAGAATGGCCCCGTATGGCTGTAGCGGTGCAACCCATGGAACGAACGACTTACGGTCAATTCCTTGCGCTTGCATGGCACGATACCAGGCGATAAAGACACAGACCATGCCCGTGTAGGTAAGCACGAAGGCGATGGTGGTCAGATCGACGAACCAGAAGAAGACCTCGACGGAAGAGGAACCAGCCACAAGGAATGTGATACAAGACAAAACAGACGCCGTGAGGACACAGTAGATGGGGATGCCGGAAGCTGTACATTTTAACAGGAACTTCGGCGCTTGACCATCGCGAGCGAGGGAGTAGAGTGTTCGGCTAGAGCTGTAAAGGTAGGCATTGCCACATGACCAACCAGAGAGCAAAATCAGGAAGTTGATTAGGTCTGGCAGGCCTTTGATGCCGAGGTTCTCGATTCCGATAACCCAAGGTGAAGCGGCAGAGCCAGCAGCACCATCGGCAATCGCGGATATGAGACGTGGGTCGCGTGGGCTGCAGATGATGCCTGCGGCTAGAACGCCGACGACGTAGAATCCCACAATACGCCAGAATGTCATCTTCACAACTCGGGGAATGGTGACTCGTGGGTTCTGGATTTCTCCTGCAGCTAGAGCTGCGAGATCAGGTCCAGCTATGGAGAAGGCTGCGTAGACCATGACGGAGAAGAAGCCTAGAAATCGTCCCATGGTGCCCTCGGTATAATACTCAAACATGACGCCCTCGGTCCAATTCCGGAAGCCATAGATGTCGTGTTTGGGGTTTCCTCCAAGCATTGTGATGAAGGTGAGGAGGACGAGTCCGATGAGAAGGAGGATCTTGGTTGATGCTAGGACGAACTCGCTTTCGCCGTACCATTTCACAGAGACAAGGTTGAGCATCGTGCAAACAACCAGTGCCATGGCTACCCACACGGCGGGGTTGACGCTTGTGTTCCAGTATTGCATGACGGTTGAGACGGCAGAGTACTCCGTGCAGACTAGCATTACACCGCCATAGAAATATACCCAGCCCCTAGAAGGGTGAGTATCTGCAGCACAAAGCGAAGCAAGATAGGGCATGGAAGACTTACATAGCAAACCCGAATGCCGGGTCAATAAACCGGGCAGCAAGTTCAAAAATCGACCCACGAAGGGGAAGGTATGCAGTCATTTCCCCAACACACAAATTAACAGGCAACATGAATAGACATCCCCAAACAAGATATCCAAGGAACACCGACAACGGACCGGCCTCCCGCAGATAGGATCCAATACCGACGAAAAGGGCAGTACCGATTGAGCCCCCGATAGCCATCAATTGCACATGTCGTGATGATAGACCGCGCTTTGTCTGCCGGAAGGGTAAAAAATCACCCGCACTAGTATCCTCGGAGACGGAAACGTCTGCAAAAGCTATCTTCTCCATGACGAGATGCTGTCACGCTTGGAATAACTCCAAGGCAGGAAGCGGGGAACATGACTCATTATATGTGTACCGATATTTGGTTCAAGAGTGTTGCATTATTAGCTTAGGGTGTTGATAGATGGCATACGCGTTGATAATGCAACAGCGAAACATAACTGCTAGGAGCATGGGCCGGCGATATATCAGACCTCAAGCCGTACTGATAAGAGAGATATAGACCAGGATCACCGAAATCTTCGGCATCTTCCCAAAAGGGGAGGAGAAGGCGATGCTTACCCTTGAGGATCTGCGTCATGATAGGCTTATCAGGGATCAACGAGTGGTTGACTGGTGAACTACCTGGGCACCTGGACAGAGGTCACAGCTCAAATGTGACAAAGGAACACTTTTGATAAGAGACGTCAATGCCTCAGACTCCCCCATTTGTGGCGTGAACTATTAGACAGCTCAAAGCTTTTGATTTCGGAACTTGTCCGGGAGGAATATCAAACGAAACCTGCAGACCAGCAGGCTTAGGGCTTCTCAAAGTGTTCAGCTTTCTATAGTCAAGAAAATTCTCCGATCCTCCCCGTTCCATTCGTCTTCAAACTACAGCTTACATGTTGCAATGTTCTAACTTGGTGGGGGGAGGGCAGTGGAGGCAGACCGAAGCCAAATAGTATGTTGTATGCCCCCGCATTTTAATGGGTGCAACAGCGGGGCTTGAGCACTATACACTGGCCCGGTGCTGTGTGTAAAGGTCAATTCCTATATATTGAAATGAGGTCCTTTTGTACCTGATCAATTTTGGGTGGGGTAAAAATTGTAGCCTGGAAAATGTCAATCCTGAAAGACTGCCCTCGTCCTGAACTGGAATTCTCCACATAAAAAGAAGTGGACAAGTATGAGTATAAACAGGTTGGTCCCCGTCACTTCACTCAGTATGAATAGATTAAATTAAGCTTCATGAATAGAAGAATTGCAATAATAAAAGCCAAAATGCGTGGCTCCAGATCGATCACGCCCAGTGACTAAATACAATCCGCTTGATATACTCTATAGAATCAATACGCTCACAAGCTTCAACTCCCACAGATCCACACCATACCTACCAAGTGAATTATTCATACGCCAGCGGAAGGAAACTCTCCGTATGAGCCCCGTCCAACGGCCACGGCCAACCCGACAACAACTCCGGCGGCAACTGGAACTGCATCATCTGCTCGCACATTGCCGTCGGTGGACCGACTGTCGGAACTGGCCCACTGGGAGGAATATAGGCTGTGGGTGGGACAGGGATTTCACGTTTAGTATCGATAGGGGTTATGTTATGGTGAGGACGCGGGTGTTGCGCTGCGAGATTGAGTAGCCTGGAGGTGCGCATATAGCCATCGATTCTGTCTACCTGCGACCGGAGTCGTTGGCTGGCGCCGCCAGCGCGCTGGAGACCTGCCTCGAGGCGGCCGAGGAGGTCGGCCATTTCGAGTCTGTGGGGAGGTTAGTGGTTTGGATAGTTAGTTTGGGATAGGTTTAAAAAAAAAGTCTTACAGTAACATGCGCACGCGTTGGTAGGATGCTTCTGATAGACTTCCTTCCATTACAGAGCCGAGGATATAGCCAATTCCACCGAGGTGGTGGAGCTCCGAGCAGTTAGCAAAACGGGGGTTAGAAGAGCAATAGTGATGGACATACCAAAGGGGAGCTGATGGCTTTCAAATACTCCACTGGAACTTTACTGAAGACACTGAGAAGCTCTCCAGCAACGTCACATTTACGGTCTACGCCAAGCTCTTCCGCTGACAAGAGTACCATTCGGAGGAGCTGCAGTGTCGCCTGGATGTTGGCAGACTGAAACCCGAATAGGTCCTTCGCCATGTCACCTGTAGTGGGTGGGGTTTCTTTAAATTGTGACGGTAACGCGGCGTACATAGATAGTACCCTCTCCATGACAGCTGGTTCTGACATGGATGCCGGGGTAAACAGAGACCATACCTGTGATGTTCCGTTGGCTGACGAGAAACGACGCCGATTTCCATCAACGACGTATTCTAGAATCCGATACAAATCTGTCGTGAAGTTCCAGCCCCGGAGCCATGCTACGGGTTGTCGCGATACAACGGCTACATCTTCCGGGCTGACGCCCGACTCGGGAGACACGGGTGGCAGCCCGTAGCCATGTAGAGTGATGAACTCATCGTCAACTTCACTTGGATATCGTACCAGAGATTGCGCTTCGCGGTATCGAATCACACCTCCCCATACAATGGTGGAATAGATATCCAACGTATAGATAGACCAGAACTTCAGACGTAGAGTTAGTGGAAAGCGTAAGCAAAAGATTATGGAATGCCTACTAGTCTTCGTCGCTCCTCGGTTTCGATGGGACTCAAGTTTTTTGGCCAAAGCTTTTCATCGTGAAGGCCCTCCATGCTGGTGAGAGTATGATACATGCCGGAGTATTTCTGCATATTCTTGATCTGGCCGTTTTGAATGCTGGCAATTGCGAGAATAGCACATGCACGCATATAGTTGATGCCTCTTGCCGCTGCGAGGTCTCGGGGAATAGAATCCTTCGCCGCGGCATAAAATGCCTCAGATGGAGGTTCGGCAAGTTCATCACGATGCCATCTATTAGTGAACAGCGCGCCGTCTCGCGCACGTCCAGAAACCAATGCGCAAACTGCCATGGTTGAAGCAAACAATCCCGGATTTCGGAGGTGCTCTTGGTTATGAACTCTCTTAAGGAAGGAATCCTTATGGAAAAGCGGGAAGCTGGAACGTGATCAGCCATCGAAAAGGACAAGAGCAATGACAAGGTCGGTTCGCACATTGGATACACAATCTCGAAGTATACTTGCACAAGATTTCGGATTTGACGTTCACTGGCAATCGCGAATGCATTCCATGAGTTGCGCAATGCGCCATCATCGTCATACCCCTCCGTTGCCACACCGCCGTTGTTGAGGGTAGACCATGGGTCTCCAGTCAAGGACGGGCGGTGGGCGGACTCGGTGTAATAGGAGCTCCTAGACGCAGAGGAATTCGACGTCCCCCCTATCGCCTGCGCAGCTGGCGGTACAGGAATGACATTCTCAGGGGCAGGAGTTCCTACCAACGGTGTCTCTCGAACAGAAGCCCTAGTGCCAGCCTTGACGCCCCGGCGCTTCGCGGGGCGATCAAAGGTACACGGGACATCAAAATCCGCACAATTCTGACATCTGCCTAACGGATCTTCACTTCTGCCACATTTAATGCTGCGTCTGTTGCAGAAGTCGCCTGTGAATGCAGCATGAGCTCTGAGCTTTCTAGTACAATCTGCGGGAATAGTTGCGGCTAAGAGGGGGTGGAGTATACAATTGGACGTGGGAGTCTTACAGGCTTTGGAGACGCGTTGGAGCTTTCGGGGTTTTTGCGACATTCAATTCATTAATTCATTCCAACCTCGGAAGGTGGTCTCAGGCGCAGGGAGACAATTCGCGGGTCCCGACTTCGGTCAAAAACGGGGTTCCGGGTTTGCACAGAGACACGGGTGGCGTGTGGGAAATCCTGGGGTAAGGCTGTACAAAATGGGTGGGGGGCAAATGCAAAAAATGACTATCAAACTCAAGCAGCAATTTTTTCCGACGACATGGATGCGTATTTGAATTGCTAGAAATGAGCGAGGATAAAAGTCGGCTTTGGAGTTACAAGCCACAAAAGCTGACTCAGCAGCGTGTCATTTCCACCTTCGAAGATTGATGATGGGGGATCGAATGCAGTGGAGATTTTGATAGCCATGAGGTCTGGATCATAGAGTCCCAAATGTTGTCTTTATCATTGTAGATCAGTTATGATTTGCATCTAAATTTGAAAAACAACATTCAATGCACCTTATGATTCCCAAAATGTCTCATCCTTATCCCTGGCTAGCTTTACATGGAAGGCTACGACGAAACCCACAGGACCCACCACTAGCAACAAAGTGTCAAAGTGAAAAAAAGAAGTGAGAAAGGTGTGAGCATGATCTTTAGATAATCCATCAAGTGCTGGTAACAGCCTTCGGTTCATGATCTTATAAATGTGTCGCTTCTAGGGTAGGTGTAACACGACTCTTTTTATTGTGACAGAAATGGTGGGTGGAGTGTTTGGACGGTTTCCCTCTTGGATGGGGTGGTTGTCAGCTCGGTCTTGCCGTCACTACCATCCTCGCTTCTGTTGACTCCATGTTCGGCGAGGACATCACCATGGAGCTTATATGCCTGTTCCATCTTCCAGTAGAATGGACTGGTGGTCGAGAAAAGAGCGTCAATTGACTCAAGAGAGCGGTTGCGGGTTTCGGGGTAGACTGAGAAGAAGATCATGTTAGATCTTAGCACTAGACGTGGGTTAATTCAACGTCAAAAACTTACATAGGTAGACAATCGGGATCCACGTGAGGTTAAGGCCAGCAAACAAAAAGTATGTACGGCTCTGAATGATTATCAGCATCTCCAGTGAAGTGGAAAAGTGGAAGCCACTTACGGTCATGACATTAAACATGATAGGGTTGACTAAAGTGGTCATACCCACTCCAATAGCCCACCCTGTGATTCCAAATCCATTTCCTTGGGCTCTTAGATCACTCGGGAAGATCTCAGTAGGGATCAAGAAAGCAACGGTGCCCCAAGTGGCAGCATAACTAGCAATCGCCTTAGTATGGAAAAAGTATCACAATTCTGTGCGGACTTACCCCAGGTTGAATAAAAAGAGCATTGTCACAGCACCTGGTGCATATTGAGATGCCTTTTCAGGGTTATGCAGGGAGCCTTCATAGACAGCTCCGGCCTAAGAAGTCGTCAGGAGGAAGCACATTGAGCCGTAGAAGAAAACTCACAGTAAGGTTGACTACAAACAAAATAGCTGATCCGCCCATCAGACACACCCGTCGGCCCAATCGATCAATAATTTGGGCACTGATGATTGTACCTACAATTCCAATGGTGTTGATTCCTCCAGCAAGGCCGTTTTGTTTTATACTACTATAACCTGCCTGAGCAAGAAGTGTCGGGGAATAGGCAGTGACCGCCTACAACAACCATTAACACCCCACGCCCCATTGACTGTTCCAGGGACTTGTTACCAACGCCGTAACTCACCGTAATACCAGTCCAGGACGCCATAATTTGAAGCCATACACACAACCAAGCTCGTCGGCCGAGATTCAGGCCCGGCTTTCCACCCTTTCCAAACAAGATCTTTACAAACTCAAAGGGGGAGCTGCGCTTGTTTCCCTCCGCAGTGATTATAATCTCAAGGTATTCTCGGTCAATATCGTCCTGAGTGGCCCAGTCTTTGCGAATACGACTCAAAAGGTCTCGTGCTTCATCATTCCGCCCCACCGAGGCCAGATAACGGGGGCTATCCGGCAACAATTTGATAAAGGCAACCAGTATAAGGGCCGGGAAACACTGGAAGGCAAGAAGGAAGCGCCATCGTACGTCCGAGTAACCGTCATCGACAAACGCGAGGCCGAAGGAGATCCAGTATGCGATGGAGATTCCTAGATCTTGAAAATAATCCATGTCAGAAGGGGACCCCACAGTGGATATCACAAATCAGACGTCTCACAGTTGGCAATGAACACATAACCCAAAAAGCCACCTCGATGGTTCGCTGAAGAGGTCTCTGAGACTAACACTGGGGTGATGCCAGTTAAGGCTGTGAGAGTAACAAATTAGAGTCGTGGCTCTTTGTCTGTCCCAAGCTTAGGCAAGACTCGCAAGGATTCTCACCCCCGGTCCCGATTCCTGTGACCACTCTAGCGCACAGCATGAAATTTGAATCCTGTGCAGCCGCTTGCAGGGCACCACCGATCAACGCAAAAGATGATCCCGCGAGTAAGCCGTTGATCCGACCAACTCGATCTGCAAGCCAGCCGCCAGCGAAACAACCGAAGATCGCACCCAGGTAATAGACGCTGACAAGGCCGCCCTGGTGAGTGGTGTCGGTCACTGTCCCATCCGGTCTACCAATACCAACCTCTGTCACATATTTGGGTGCGCTGTTGACGCCACCCATCACACCTTGGTCATATCCCTCGAAGAAGATCGAGATCAACGAAAAGATTTGAATAGCGCCATTCAGCTGACGCGGCGACAGCCTTTTCCAAAGTGTGGTATAGCCCATGATATATTTGATGAACTACTTCCCCAGATAAGGGAAGTGAAAGTAATGCCGAGTGATCCTTGTTATGGGACCCGCCCCCGGCATTTGGTGAAGAATCTGCAGGTCAAGCTTGGTAATAATGGGGGCAATGGAGTTCATGGGGGTGGGGCCAAGCCCACATCCCAAGCGCGTAGCCATTTATCATCTGGAATCCCCAATAGGCGTTTTGCCGGTTATCCCTTCTCCCTTTGTTAACTAATGTTGGATCTAATAGAATTGAGATTGTCGAAGCGGATTTTTCAGTCTCCACCATCCACCGGTTGGTTTGTCATGGAGACCCGGCTGATGAGACCGGCTTTGTTAAATAGAAGACTTGATTCTCAAGATGTTTGCGTTTTATTTTTCCGAGTTGGTTCTGATATTTCTGCGTTTTAATATTTGGAATTTGAAGTCAAATATGGCGACCAACTCCATTAATCGCATCAGTCGTGGATTAGACATCACGGTTTTGGGGTTGAACAGCGGAACGTCCATGGTGGGTAGCTGTCTATCCACTCGAGAATCACCAGACTCATCAGCTACAGGATGGCATCGACTGTGCCCTTTGTCGATTTCGCCAGGAGACTCCCGAATCGCCCATGCACTTCGAACTACTCAAGGCAAGTATCTGCGGGAGCGCTCCACGGGGTACGACATACTGACCAATGATGCAGTATGGTGAAATTCCACTTGAACCGGTGATCAAGAAGCGGGTGATGAACATGATCCTGCATAACAAGACCTCCCCTTCGGAGTTGTCCGAAGTAAATGTGATCCTGGGCGAGACCTTCGCCTCAGCCGTGCACCAGTTCTGTAAAGATTACAATGTGGATATTAAATCGATCGATGTCCTCGGATCCCATGGCCAAACCATCTGGCTACTCTCCATGCCAGAGGCCGGCAAGACCCGCAGCGCTCTGACGATGGCCGAAGGCACATTCCTTGCCTCGCGCACGGGCATTACCGCAGTCACCGACTTCCGGGTAAGTGATCAAGCGGCTGGACGCCAGGGAGCACCCCTCATTGCCTTTTTCGACGCACTAGTGTTGCACCACCCTACAAAGCTGCGTGCGTGCCAAAATGTCGGCGGTATCGCAAACGTCTGCTTTGTCCTCCCGGACAGTCACGGCGGCGTTGATGCCTGCTACGATTTCGACACCGGTCCAGGAAACATTTTCATCGATGCCGTCGTGCGCCACTATACCAACGGCAGGCGTGAGTACGATCAGGATGGCGAGATGGGAGCCCGCGGTACTGTCGACCAGGCGCTTGTCGACGACTTCCTGACACATCCCTACTTTGCGCTGGAACCCCCCAAGACAACGGGCCGTGAGGTTTTCCGTGATACACTCGCTCACGAGTTCATCGTCAAGGCCGAGGCCAAGGGCCTTCAGCCTGACGACGTCGTCGCCACCATCACCCGCGTTACCGCCCAGGCCATCGTGGACCATTACCGTCGCTACGCTCCCAAGGACCTCGAGATCGCTGAAATATTCATGTGCGGCGGTGGCGCCCACAACCCTAACATTGCCGCCTTTATTCAAATAAATTACCCCAATACACGCATCATGATGCTTGATGAGGCTGGTATCCCTGGCAGCGCTAAGGAGGCCATCACTTTTGCCTGGCAGGGTATGGAGGCTGTGGTTGGCCGATCTATCCCTGTCCCCGCTCGTGTCGAGACTCGCCAAGAATATGTCCTCGGCAAGGTATCTCCGGGCAAGAACTACCGCAACGTCTTGCGTCAGGGCATGTTGTTTGGCGCTGGTCTTGATCATCTCCCACCTGTAAAGGAGATGAATAACTACATTGATGGCAAGGCCTTTGACAACAAGTGGTAAATCCTGCTTTCGGTCCTTCTTTTCTCTCAAGCCCTTTGCATAGCGGTTTTCGGATGCCTTGATTTTTCGTTATTTCTCTTTTGGCGCAACCTCACAATGACATAAATTTACAGATAGAGACTTCCCAATTTAATGTCGGTCAATATGCCAAAACACAAGAATGAGATTAGACTCAAATGACCGAATTGCATGCTGGAGTGCGTTCCAAGTATGAAAATCCACCAAGCGATCCACACGCTAGTATCACTAGCTTGATAATGCAGTTTCCATCTAGCTCCACGTGGAGTTCGAACCGGTAAATGTCCATTCAGCCATTTTGGCCGCACGAATGGCACGTGCGAGGAAAGTCTAGAACTGTCTATTTACATCGGTACCTTTTCGGCCCGAGCTTTTCCCGGGTCTTTCTGATGATCTGTGGATAGAGTGGGCTTTAAATCTGATTGCTTTTGCTCCGCAGTAGTGTGGGGATGATTTCTCTCCACATATCTTTTGACTATTTGGATGTAGACTGTGGGCGAGGTTTTTGCTCAGCCTTAGGGGCAGGTGGCCTTGTGAGAGCGATCCTTTCGCGCCTATTTCCAGACAGGTTAATAGTCTTGAATCGTTGATGGATAGCTCCGGATTATATTGATGGAAGAAAATTATGCTTCCAAAGTGTGCCGGCAAGAGGCAACAACAATTATGAAGCATGACCATGCGTCCATCTATTAGCCTCAACCACAAAGACCTCCTATTAAAGGAATAGAAGGACATCAAACCTTTCTTCGCCTACTGATTGCAGGGCCTCACATAAAGGCCAAGTTTCCAAGTCAGATGTGTACTAAGTTAGAATTGTTTTTCGGGCAACACTAACGGAAGCAGGGGCGTACCGCAATACAATTGACCCAGTGAGGAAAATGTACCCCTTAAAGACAGTTCTTTTGGGAAACCAAAAAAAAACTGAATCACGTTGTGGAAACTTTAAACGTCGGTCCTCTTCGCAATAATAGGACCAATCTTCTAGCTTCTCCCAATTTCTACAAATTCGGGGTCGAGCTTCGACACTTTAACCTTCAATAGCCACCGATATAGCTTAGTAGGGCTAAGATCGGGTAAACATAGAGGCCAATCCTCGACGCATGCCCTATGTTCTCCAAACTACTCTCCCACAACTCTAGTGGTATATACACGCGTTATCCTCTATATATAGGTAAAAAAAAACCATTTAAAAAAGGAGAAATACCGAAGTTAAGGTGGTTGGAGGGCTTACAACCCGCGCTAAAAATAAGTAGGATTTGTCACGGCACTTAATACACCGGAAGTATAACTTGTCATATAGACAGTGCTACTAGGATAGGGCATATGTCACCCTCGCTCGCTTGAAGTATATTGCAACAACCCATTTAAATTCCGGCAGTTCTTCCTACTCTTTATCCTTACCCCGTAATCTAAATCGTGTAACGTTACAGTTGAGAGAAGATTTGGGGTAGGCTAATTTCGCCGAGATATCCAAGACATCCCGTAATTATGGCTTGACAATGAGAGAGCTGAAACCCAAAAATCTGTAAGCATTCACAGGATAAGTTTAGAGGGTTAGTGCCGAAGCTGTAGGCGGACAGCCGGGGGGAGGGGGCTCAAGGCTTGGTTCCTAGCGGGATCCTCGGATGTGGGGATGTTCATATATTATAAGGACAAATTCAATCTTGCTTTCTCTTAGATATGGAGGTACACATAATGTTAAAGATGTAGTTGTTAGGGCAGCCTTTCTGAAACAACTACCTACGCCAGCACATTAGAGAATCTGGAAATAGCTATAGAGGGGTCAAAAGAACTCTTTCTTTCAGATTTCATCGAATTACCATTTCCAGGAAGAGGTATCATGATTCGATCCCCTTCTTTAGCCATTCATTCGAGCCCGGTATGGCGAGCCCGCAAAACGCATCCCATTTGGCAGCCACAATCGGGCCTTTAGCTTGGCCAACATTGCGATCGCGAAATCTGATGGAGTAACTATCAGTGATTAACACTAGCTTGTGCATCTTCAGGCGAAGACCGGTGTGCCTAGACGCACAGAGTGTTTGAGGACTTGTGCCAAACTAGGCTACTAAGCGCAGTCCTATCAGGGAGAAACCCAATTTTTCTCATCTCTCTAGGTTTTTTTGACATTAGCTCTGAAAGGTCGAGATATCGTAGCAACATACTGGAAAGTCTTCACATAGGACTCGCGGACCTCTTCCCTCTCACCGTCACTAAGATCCCAAAATGCATCAGACCCATTCTTGCTGCCCAGGTGCAGCCCTGGCACCATCTCCCACACTAGCCAGACCAAGAGCCCGCCTGGGACTAGACTTGAGTTATTCGGTACTGTGGTTTTGTGTCCCAAGAGCTTCGGAGTATGAGTTAAGTTCTGAGTAAGGCCTTGATAGGCGATTAACTCTTCGGGGATGGGTTTCATGGCCTGACTGGCTCTCGTCTGCGCATCATCTACTTCCGTACCACAAAATCGGACTTGGAGGTATATTCGCATGAAGGCAAGCTTTGTATCGTCTTGAGGATCGCAACAGAGAAGCTCGGTGCTGGCGAAGGACAAGCGGATACCAAAGCGACGCTGCTCTTCGCCAAGTTGGTAATCATAATCATTCAATTTCTTCACTATTTTCCATCTCGAAGGGACGGGCTGATCGAGGTTTATAGTAGTGCCAGGTTCGATGCCCATCCGGATCCACATGGGCTCTTTGGAGGTTGACATTATGCTAGATGAGAGCGGGTGAGCATTGATAGTGATCTTGACATCTTGTGGAGGTGCAGTGTAAGCTTGATAGCTTTTGAGGTAACGGTTGTAGGGTAGATTACGAGTTGATGAAGTCAAGAAATAATACCTGGTGACTCGTCTCTACCATCCTTGGTTGTGCCATAACCGGCCTTTGCAGTTTTTTTGACACTAATAACAGACTTGCTTATGGACGGTCCGCCAAACAGGATCACCAGAATGACAGATCACTATTTAGTACACCATCATAAATACACAAAATTCGAGAATTTGGTGATTAAGGCGTGCATACGTTTGGAGATTTTAATGGTGTAGTATGTATGATATTTGTCATGGCTCTTCACTGCGCAGCTCGCATGTGAAGTATGTAACTAGTGATTGTTAGACTACTTTTAGAATCTAGTTTCTTGCTTCGTCTGTCGACTATATTGGTTTTTATTGACTTTGAACTAGAAGAATTCTACCATCTACACAACGGCAAAATCATCGCCACATCTCATCATCCAATTTACGGTCATTGTCTCTTAAGTGCTTAATCTAGTATGAACTAACGTGATCTAGAAACTAGAAATCTTGTCTCCATTGTTTAGTTTAAATTGTGAAGGTTCGATAAAGATTTTGGTGTGATTTTCTTCCCAATTCTCGAGGGACGGGGGTACGGTAACTGTATGAAAGTAGCCTCGGTGTCATTCGACAGGAATGATTGATTGAGCGGGATGTCAGGATGATTATACGCCGAAGAAGATTTCTGGGACTTTTAACATTGGAACCATCTGTCAGCTTCAGTATCTGACTCTTCAGGGGAGCAAACTCGACAGCATACGTAGAAGGATGCTCCTTCACGTTTTAAGCCCTTCTCAATCAGTCAAGTCTGTTACTTAGACACCGTGTTTTAGATTTGTGACCTATCACGGACCATCTCCGGTCCAAACCTGATTCCGTATGCCTGTGTCTACCCCGAAGTCCGGATTTGCTTGGCCTAACAATGCGACATGACAGAGACTCTGGCAGAGGGACATTGTTCCGCTTGTCTCACTCACTTGATTGTTGTGAAAGATCAAGGGAGAGTGTTGAATTGCTCACAGGGTATTAACATCCACCTTGCGAAGAAATATGGTTTCTTTTCACGTGGCCAAGAAAGCATGTTTCAGCTTCATCTCAAGAATGTAGGCTGCAATCTGGCCGAAGTATGTTTTAATGAGCATGTTCATCCATGTTACAACTTGGGACTCTGACCTAGTAGGTGTCGGAAGGGCTGCTCGTGTCCTTCTTCAAAGTGGTGAGCTGCCGCGCTTAATTCGGGCTTTCGTACCCACGGCACTTTCGCTTCTCCTATTACCATTGTCATACTGGATTGGCTCATAGCAGCAAAATCAGGAACTTTGCGATATTGATCATGGGGTCGCACCGCGCTTCTAAATCCGCCAAACGTGATATCCAGTTGCTGGGCTTTGAATGCGACGCCTAAATTTGGCCTGCTCGAGCTAGTAATCTTCCTTGATCTTCCGTCTCACTGGAGACAAAAATATGCTCTTCAGTGGTTGAATTTGCTGCAGCTGGTTCTGTGGGTTTGGTATCTATTATGTGCGGACTCCAGCTCTGAGCTTGAAAGGTGTTGAGGCGTTGGCAACTTCAGCCTCAACGTTTGGCCAAGACTTGAGATTTCGCTAGTAGTAAATACAGCGTAGGGCGTGACTAGTTGTATGAACTGATGCCGATCCTGAAGTTGGGTAGTGGCTCTTGTAAAACATCTGGCGCGGTCATTGCCGACATGTTTGCCATGATTGCGGCTGACTCCAGGCAGCCTGAGATTAGTTAGGTACTGAGAAATGTGATGAGCGGAAGGCCGAAGATAAATGAGTGGAATCGAAGGAGTTCATAAATTTTGCGGCCTGTGTCCTCGGAGAATAGACTCTGCCAAATGCTAGAAACCAACCGATTTCTTTCCTATATTTCCTTCTCTCTAACATGAACATATTTTTCGAGTACTTCCGAGTCTCAACGGGAGACCATGACGTGTCCTTAGCGATACCTCCGAAGCACACATTTAGGCTAGAAGACCATTCTGTTTGATGAATTCTACTCCGAAATGGAAGTGGGTGTGACGACTAGAGATATTCGCACTAAGTACCAGAAAGAGCAGAATCAAACCTAAGGTTTTTTGCCATCGCCACTCCATGAATGATATTTTAAATGATATCCCTTGGGGAGTAGTTGCACGGAGTGGCCGCATGCTGACCCATGAGAGGCAGACGACGCCAGGTTGGCAAGTTGATTACTACCTTTAAAGAAATCGCCATGCTACTATGGGATGCACTAGCAAGCGGTGGATAACTCCATTCTCGACTGTGCCACGTTTGGCAGTTGAAGAATATCCAGACCCGTGTGGCCCTGACCCTGACCCTGGCCCTGACCCTGAACCATTGATACCAAGGATATGCAGTCAGAGGCAGAACCTTAGGAGATGGCCCAATTCAAAACATAGCTAATGCAATGATAGATGGTCTAGATACATGCGTTTTTGTGTTTTTTACAGATTCTGCGATTGATCCACTAGGTTAAGTTTCCGCGCATCGTCGATATCTCACTCTGTGTAAACCCAAGTCTATCGATGAGATAACCCTCAATGCCGTTTCTAAAGGATTTCTCAAATGATATCAAGAAAGCCTCCATGGAAGTGGCTCGAACCCCACACAGTTCGAGCATACCCAGTCCCTCAGGGCTCAAATGGGTGACGTCGACTCCACCAGCTCCCAAATTTACAGCGAATGCCTGCATAAGGTTCTCCCGGGCGCTTTCCAGTTCGACTCGAGTGAGAATGTAGTCGTTGATAACATCGTCATGAGGTCGATTGATCAGGAGGAGAAGGAGGGCAGCGAAGACCCCTGTGCGGTCTTTACCGGCTGTGGGTGCGAACTTGGGATTAGCATTTGTTGAGTGGTGAATGGAGATATTTGCACGCAGCAAGCGCAATTAAATACACGCGAGACGTACCGGAGCAATGAACGATGAACGGATCTTCCGGATTATCTCTGATATGCTTGAATATCTCTGTGAAACATGGCGCAGCCGCTTCGAGGATCCCGAGGTACATCTTGACAAACCCTGCAGCGCCCTTGTCAGGGCCCGCGAAATCGCGAAGATCTAAAGTGGTCGGTTGGGCTCCGTACGGTAACCATATCGTATCGACTCCTGTGATAAAAGGTGCAGGAGCCTTTTGTCGCTCGCCTTCGTTCCGGAGGTCAAAGATTGTAGTAATTCCCAATTCGGTTGCGATGATGGATTTCCCGGCTCCGAAGATGTCGGACAAATTTCCGGACCGATACACGAATCCTGGGCGTAGTTTGTTGCCATCATGACTTAGATCGCGAAAGTTGGAGACGCCTTGTAGAGGGATGAATGGCGGCAAGGATGTGATCCGAGTTACGAGGGCCGTGGGGATGGGGGTTCTGATATCGGCGTTTAAGACCTCGCGAAATTGGTCTGTCTCATGCATGATTTGATTGTAGATAGAAATTGAAGAGGTTAAACCAACCCCAAAGGACATCAGATATAGAGCAAGTTCATTCCAACTATGTCATCGTCTCCATCAAATACTGGAGCCGAAGCCTATCCAATGTCATCATATCTGACGATATTCCAGGAACACCACCCCATCCATGAGTTTAGTGCATTTCAAAAGCTTGATTAACATCATTTCTAGGAGGACATTAGGCGGTCTTCTCAGATATTTCATGATGACTTTTCCTTCTTCCTGGGCTTTTCTACACACCCAACTTCATGCACACGGACAGTGGTTGTTGAACTTCATACTCGAACAAGTCTTGAAAATAAGACAATTGAGATCATCTTCGAGGTAACATAACAGATTACGTAGCAAACAGGGTGTATATAGCCCTTTGTGTACTTTGTGTAAGTTCAACTTATTAACTGCATCTCCGTCTACTCAAATCAAACTTGTCCATCTAGCCATGGCATCCCCAAGCATCGATGCCAGAGTCAGAGACTTGGCATGAGATAAACAATGGCGCATCTGCGTAGCAGTCTGCCGGTACCAAGAGAACGGGCGATATGCCGTCCTACTTCTTAAGCGAGCCACCGGCACCGCTACATATGGTTGGTGGAACCTTCCAACGGGCCCAATTCTGAACACCGATGCAACCATCTGAGACGTGAAGCACATCGTCCTCGACAAGACCGGTCTTGGACTCCAGGGCTACCATAACATCGCGGGGGTAGATTCCTTGACATGGGGATCTGAAGAGGAGGTCATCGTGAAACTTAAA